AGTGATAACCAGTGACTCAACATCAGAGGCGGTGAGGGAGCGAAAAACACGAGCACTGAGAGAGAGATCAGAATTAACTACTTTGTGTAGAAAGCAGAGCTTGATGATAAGTATTCTGGCTCTCATAGACGGCCACTGCAGAACCATGAGGGCAGTGTTGTTAGGGGTGAAGGTTGGTAGCCAAAGGATGCGCTTGGCGAGCTCAGCTTGGAAAGACTCCAGCTTCTGCAATAGAGTGGGATCCAAAATCCATGTTTCGGCACCAAACAGTAGGCATGGTAACACCACAGTGTTCGACGATACACTTGGAGGAAAGGGGGTTGAGAGTACCGTGGAAGACTCCGCTGCCTCTTGCAAAGAAGGCGCATCTCGCCTTCTTGATGTTTTCTTCAACCCACTTAGTGCACGATAGACTGGGAGACCACCATGCTCCCAAGCATTTGACAGAAGAGGAAAGAGGAAACAGCAGGTCTCCTGTGCCGATGTGGGTGGAGTCGGCTGGAAGAGAAGGAGAAATGGAAGCTTCACATTTATCGACATTCAGAGCCAGGCCTTGAGAGGAGGCATACTTACTGACGAGAGCCATCTGTAGCTTGCAGTCGGAAATGTTGGTGGAGAGTGTTCGAATATCGTCCGCATGGAAGAAGGCCTCAAGATAGAGACCACAGACAGAAGGACCACAGGATCTCTTGCTCAGCTCCAGGAGAATTGGGTCCATAACCAGCATGCAGGAAGAGTGTGGGTGTGAAAGGACAAAACCCCGCGACTGACAGAAAAAGAGGGGGAAACCTGTCTGCCAACTCTCACTGAAATTGTGACGTTAGTGTACCAATCTATGATAAGGCGCCAGGCCTTCCCGGAGACTCCTGCTTTTTTGAGGAGGGTATTACTCACAGCATCAAAATTAGCGACACCGCGCATGCGCACACCGCTTGCGCCATTCCCATTTAACGCGCACCTTTGTCCCCCTTGCGGGCTGCGCCCCTCCTTCCCCCCACGGGCATGGCGTCGCCGGACAGTAAAATATGCGACATCGACAGAGCAAGGATAGCGAAGAACATAGTTGACTGGAAGGACCTCTCGCCGTATCTGGGGTTGAATGCCGCGGAAATAAAAGAAGTAAAAGAATCTGACAGCGGCAATTTCCTACAACAGAAATGCGAGGCCATACGGAAATGGCAGCAGAAGAACGGAGACGATGCAACCTATGCAGCGTTCATCGTAGTGGCGACTGTGGCCGAGAATAAGGAGCTGGCCGACTACGTGCGGGAACTGGTTGTGGGTGCCCGCGACGAACAACAATGCAGTCATACAGAAAAAGAGGGACTTTGTGAGTCACTGTCGAAATATCATTAGATCGTTGACCATTGTATATTGGTCTATGTTTCAAGTGTCTCTCGTGATGGCCCTTACCAAGGAGCTCAAGGAAAAGGAGACAATGTTGCAAGCCAAGGTCAGTTCTGCCCCAGTGTGTACAGTGTGTGCATGATTTATCCTTGATGTTGTCATAGCACTGAAGTGTAAAAATGGTGGTCCAGTTCAGGGGGGGTAGGAAACAATCACGTGTGAGCAATTTTTTGCTGAATCAGCACTCCGGAATATATGGGCTTTGTCGTTCAACCAGTCTTCAAGGTATTTTCGGCAATCTAGGCTGTGGCTGAAGTTTTTCTCCTGACAGAGTGAAGGAGGCACCTTAGGAGATCACAAATCTTGGTGGAACCACAACTCGTTTTTTTGCTAGTAGCTTATGAATGGGAGCGCCTAAGCTTGCGACTTTTTTCTCCCAGCGAAGCGTTTAGCATCTGGCCTTGACTTTCCACTCCAGTCTACTAGACCATTTGACTCAATCCAATGTACGTCAGGCTATTCAAATGTGCTGCACAAATACAGCAAGCTATGAGCAGTAGATAGTGGATAGCATTAGGCCAAGCCACGCACCAAATTGTTGTAGCCTAGCTACTCCACAGATACCTTCGTATGCCATGAAAGCAAGCGAATAAGCCAATATGCATAATCGCACTGGGCTTACTGCGACCTGATCCGCTTGCTCTGCGTACCTTGGAGGCATAGAAATAACAACGAGCCGTGTATCGACTTCCGCATGCTATTTATTAGTGTAGCTAGCCCGTGTCAGACTCTCCGCGCGCTATATACCACTGGCCTTCCGAGCGAGAGAGAAAGGATGGTACACACTGTTTGCGCATGCGCCGAATGTTCCCAACATTCCGGGAATTCCGTATCGCGCTCGGATTTCTCCATGTCCTTGACGTATACTCTTGGATACTTCCTGCTATATGCAGGTCGTTTCGCCGTTTAACAACACCGCCGACTGTATCAGTGGCGAATATTTGCCTGCAGATTTGAATCGCCGTGTGCAAATTGGACACGGCCACATTCTTCTGTGAAGTGTATTCGGCGCATGCGTGAACAGTGTGTACCTGGCCTTCTCGCACCCAGACTCGTACCCAGACCCCGCCCTCTAAAGAGGAAAAGGGTCTGGTGACATTTGGACGTTTTCTCTGTTGTGCTGAATCAGCAGCCTTGTGATAATTACATAACCACACGCAAGTTACTTTGGATACGCTCGCGATTATGCGGTGTGCACGGAGCTTCGTTCTACGCTGTCACATGATCTACATGATGTTCAGCAATCTGATTGGCTTACCGAAAAATAAGACTGCTGATTCAGCAGAACCAATAAATCGCTCAACTGTCACCAGACCCTTTTCCTCTAGAGAGGGCGGGGTCTTGGTACGAGACTAGTAAGGCTTGGGAACGAGTAAATGCATATATATACTCATAGCCCAGCCCATCAATTAGCTGTGCTGCGCATGCGCAGTTTGCCGAGGGTTTTGCACTTCAGTGCTTTTCATTTCACCAGCAACAGAAGGGTACACACGATAGAAAACCTGACCGACACAGCAGGCTTGTTAGAAAAGGTGTGTAGGTTTGTTTGTGCACTTGCTCTGTTGTCTGTAGCATAATATGAAGCTAATTTTATGGCATTTGACTTTCGTGGCTTGGGCCTTGGTCTAGCTCTATGCTCCAGGCATGGAGACATGCAGTCTAGCTCACACAGGATCACTGCAGAAGGATGCTCCAGGTCCGCATCATAACACATACAAAATTGACCGTAGCTGTACACCAATAACGTTAAAATTTATATCGTAGGCACTCGTGATGTCATAATACCGTTCTTTCTTTTGCAGAAGCCCACCACTTTGCCTTCTAATGTGAAATATAGCCTACCAATAAACTGGAAAGATATCACTGGAGATGGTACACTGCCAGTACCAATGGAAGGTGCCCAGGCTGTGGTCATTGGAAAGAAGGTCTACATTGGAGGGGGTAAAAGTAGTGAAAAGAATGTATTGGAATACAACGAAGGGAAGTGGCAAGTGCTCCGACCTAGTCCTCCAGTTTCATTGTTTGGAATGGCAGTTGTTCACAACCGACTTATAGTAATTGGCGGCGAATTTAAAAAGAATGATATTACGAACGAAGTGTGGGTGCGGGCAGAAGGCAAGCAGAGGGGTGACAATTGGGACCAACCGTACCCAACGATGAATTTAGCTAAGGTGTCACCCTCAGCAATTGGTTACAAGAATTGGGTGGTTGTGGTAGGGGGGCGAGGAAAAAGCGAGGATGGAATAAAACCTGAAAACAGGGTCGAGGTTTTAGACACCAGCACAAAGGAATGGTTCTGGGCGCCACCTCTAAAAAAGGATGCGGTTCGACCTTCACTGGCAGCTGTCAAAAACATCCTGTACATAGCATCTGGACGGTCTGTTGCCTGTATATTCTTGCCGATCCTAGTGTCGGATGCTATCTCTAAAAAAGAAAACCCATTGATATCAACATCAGAGTGGCAATTACTACCTGATACTAAATGTTACGACCCATCCCTTGTGTGCTTCGACGATAATCTCCTGGCTGTGGGACAATGGGATAGAGCTGTGGAAACTATTGCCATGTACTTCTCCCAGACCAGGGAATGGCTTGAGGTCGCAAACCTACCAACACCACGCCGGGGTTGCACCTGCATCCAACATCCAACTGATTTGATGGTGATCGGGGGGAGAGATTACAAACACAAGGATATTGTTACCACTGAATTTGGTGAATTGGAAAATATATGTAAAATGTAGAGTCAGGTTGATATAGAGAATTGGCTTTGGGGTCAGCCCACCTAGTCGTTTCTTTACCTCGATTTTTCTGTGTAGCTATTGGGCAAGCAAGCCCTGGTTTCTGCATTCAAATTTTTAGCATGGTGCGAGTGGGCAATCGTGAGCATCAATTTTCACGCATGGAATCACGTTTAAATTTTCACATGTGTTTATAGAAGCAGTATGTCCAGTGCCTGTCACTTTTGCTCGTCAACCTACCTAGCCTTCAGTTCCCACTCTCAACGTATGCATGATGTGGTAGCTGTTCATAAGTGGAGTGCGGCAATGAGTGTGACCATATATCACAAGTACTTAGTCAAGTTATAGGGATGACACAGGTTGTCCTGCATTATGCCCATACATTTGAGATTTGCATGTTTCATTAACTTTTGACACAATTAACTTTTTATCAGACGTACTGTTTAAGAACGTAAGATATTTTCACGTTCTTCCTTTTTACATTTACACATGCGCAAAGGCAGGGCCACGTAAAAGTTTTGTCTCTTGCTGCATGCCATGAAGCATATCGCTCAGTCCCCTCCCACGTTTTAGGAGAGGGGGAAAGGCTGAGGACCTGAGACTATCCCCTCCCCCTCCTCCCAACTTTTTTCTCCACTAGGGCTCTGAGTTGCTTACAGGTTTAGTGGCCAAGTCAGTATTATCAATGTCTGCCCTATTATAGCTATAATTATATCAGTTGTATCTTCCCTCCATGAATATACTTCAGAGAAACACCAAAATTTTTTATTTCCCCTGGAATGTGTTACTATAGACACACCAGCCAGCTCTCATATGAATTTGCCAGATGTGTGCTGACTCGTGCATGTGGAGCGTTATTCATTCGCGGATGTCCGCTCCCCAAGACTGCGCAGTGCGCAAGTCAAGGGTGAGGCTAGTAAATAGTCAGGGGTCTGCGGAGGACGAGGCTAATAGTAAATATCTCTCTCTGCACCCTCTAAAATGGCATCGCTCGACGCAAAGATAAGCGATATCGACATAGCAGAGATAGCGAAGAACATAGTTGACTGGAAGGACCTCTCGCCGTATCTGGGGTTGAATGCCGCAGAACAAAAAGTAGTGGAGAAAGGTGGCAGCAATTATCTACAACAGGCATGCGGGGCCCTCCGGAAATGGCAACAGAAGAATGGAGACGATGCAACCTATAGAGCATTCATCGCAGTGGCGACTAAGGCCGGTGATAAGAAGCTGGCCGACTACGTGAAGAGTCTTGTGGGCGAAATTATTGATGATGGTGGAGAGTCAGGTGAGTGGGAAACGGGATCCATGTCTATCCGCATTTATATCTCTGAGTTACTGGGTACATATAATATTTGGGTCGATTTTTGTTTAGCGTAGCCATAACTACAACGTTGAATACATAATTCATACAACCAAATTACGAATACTGTTAGCCTACTAGTTACTAGCTATAATAATGTGATAGGCTCAGAGAAAACGACCCTTATCACACACGTAGTATTGTTGTAGTAGCGGCGGTTTTACGGCGAACTAAGAGTATTTATAGGACTTTCGGTCTAGCGTATGTACAAACGTATTTTGCGGTTTTTGCGTCATAAGGGTCGTTTTCTCAGAGCCTGTCACATATATCTCTACACCCAAGTAAGGCAATTACTGGCGAATCACAACCTCCACACTCTGTATCCACTACACATACTCTAGTTCTGATTGAATGCTATGCACTTTTATTGTCCTACAGGTGCAACCACTGGCAGGGGATCGTCAAAACTTGGTATGTTCCCAACTATGGCTGGTGCATCATAAACAACGCAACTTCTAGAATAAGTAGGCCCTGATGCCTATCTTCCCCATAATTTTTTGCAGCGGGAACTGGAGTGTAGCTAGCTGTAATATCTATTCAGAACACTCCTGATGGACTGCAGTGCAGTAATAATGTTTTGGTCATGAACCATATTTGCAATGTCCTAAACCAAAATAGCCTTACACTACCGTAAGACTGTTCAGCTACACACAAACCAGTTCAGGCCGAAGCAGTTTACAAACCATTATAAATGTGCCTGGCTTTAGTCAAAATTAATATCTATAGCTACCTTTCCATATTATAGTCATACACTTTTCCTGTAAATAAGGTAGTGATAGTAGCTAGCTACCTGTGTGCACTATCTATGCAATCATGCATGCATGTGTAGTAGCGAGATTACTGGGTGGAAAGTTTTGACATGCCATAGATGAGCAGATGGTACATTGTGGGCGATGCATCACGCAGAATGAACTAGTCACACACATCCACACTGTGGCCAGATCCAGGTACTCTGGAAAAGAAACCTAGGCATAGCAATAATTTGATGCAGGAAGCGTGGATAATTCACATTCTTAAGGGCACATAATAATATTATGTTAATTAGCCTCACATATATACGTTTGCTCTCCAATTTTTTGTTTTTGTACATGTACGAAACAGCTATGACGTGCTACACTGATTGGATGACGTTAATTGAGAAGAAAGATTACAGCAGAGCTGCTGCGCTTTGGGTTAAGTGTAAGCAAGATCTCTGGGCACAAGGACAGGAGCTCAAAGTGAAATTCCCCGCTGGAGATGTACCACCTACATGGAAGAATGACAGTGATCACTATATCAGGAAAGAAGAAATTGTTCATATTGCCAACGAGTGGCACCGATGTGGTGTTGAAGCAGGCCGAGATGTTGTGCCTAAGTTTGTGGAATGCGGTTTTGGCGAGATTCCTGATATTGAAGTGGAGTATGGTAGGTAGACAGACTTAATCTCCACTTCATTGATTGTGTTTTACCCTCTATAGCTGACGGTGTTTCAGAGTCAGAAGTTGGTACAGATGCAATCGGAGGTCGCCTAGTATGAGGTTGGATCTTTCACCGCAGTCTCATTATTACAAGTCACACCATACGACATGAATTTGGGCATGCGCTTGGTCTTCAGCACGAGCACCAGCATCCCGATGGGCCCGACCAGTATGACGAAGGAAGCTCAGGGAATATTTGATCCGTTATAATCGTGTCAGTGAAGACGACGTAGATGATGCAAATATTTTATCAGTGGAAAGCAGTGAAAAGTGGGGAGGTTAAGGAGGGTGACTATGATCCAGACAGTGTTATGCACTATTGGTAAGTATGGCTATCGTATCTGCAGCTAGATCATTATTGCCTGGTATTTCATTATTCCATATAGTATACCAGAGGAGGCGAGACTAGAGAATTATAAAGGACCAACAAAAACTCAGATTAATTTATCTGATGGTGATAAGAAATATATTGTGGAAATATATTTAAAGCATGGTAAGCAAATAATTAATGTTTGCATCTATCATACATAATTATAAGCCTTTCACCCAAGGAGCTTTAAAAAGCGTGATATTTTTTCCCATTGTCCATACACTTGCTATAATAGTCTAAATTTTTCTGCTTGCAGCTCAGCCCCCAAAAAGTGGGAGGAAAGAAGATAAAAGTGACACAGGTTGGTCAGTGCACCCTCACATAACCAAAATCTCGAATATGCCGTGCAGTCTGACAAAAAGGCTGCATGGTTCTATTGAAAGCCTGATGGCTTTTCACATGCAAAAATTGCTCAGCTTCTTCTAATATAATACATTATGCCACTTAGAAAAGTCTGTTTTGCAATCTTCATTATTTTCAAAGTAATAGCTGCTTTATTCACCTCTACTATTTCCACTTGGAGTTTGAGCAGGTGATTTTTCCTTTCCTCTTGCTTCTTTCTCTCCGCTGCTTTGCTGTGGCTGTATACTTCTTTTTCTGCCTTTGGCTCAAGGTTATGTGCAACGATATCGCAAAGGCTGGCTGTGCTAATTAATCTCCCTAAAACAGACATCATTTCTGTATGCCATAGTCCGTTTGTTGCTTGCATAGTTATGGTCATGCATATAGCTAGTTCCAAAAACTTTTCTCTTTCCTCTCTGCAGCCCCAAAGGCCCAAACAGGAACAATTATTGCTGATAGTGGTGCAGCCACAGAGCCGGGTAAGTTCATGTAGTTGGCGAGCGAAATGAGCCCACCTATGGTCGTGTGAATGTGGGATTTTTTCTCTTTATTTATGTCGTGACCTGCACTGCCGCTGCACATTGTAATGTTATACGTGATTCTAAATGCGCGTGAAACACGCACGATAATTGAATTGCTTGCTTCGCTTGCCTAATGTGGTTCTAGTATACTACAGTGGAACCTCTCATATCCAAACTAAACTGTGCACTAGGCTTGTTAGGCATGCTCACAGCAAACATTAGCTATTGCACGTTGGTGTTTTTCACAGTAAGTAACATTATATATTTATGTCATAAATTCAGCCCTAATCACTAAAAGCTTACACATTATTTCCATTATTATTACTGACAGGTGTTAGTGGCGAAGTGAAAGAGCTGAGTAAGTCTTTAATGAAATCAACATGAGTCTATTACTTGTTTATCACTTTCCTGCTTCACTCGTCCCAATTATATTGGGTTTTCTTCTTACCATTTTCCAAGCTGTAAAAGACAAGGCTGATGTGATGAAATACCTTTCTCCTCTTTCTAAGCAAGAGATAAAGACTTTGGGCACGTTGCTAGGGTTATACAATGCCACTGTCATGAATGCTTTTGGTGGCACACCCATTAAGGATTATCTTGATAATATCCTAACAGCGTGGTTCAATGAACAAGATGGTGTTACTGAAAAAGGTAAGTTTGCAGTATCTTGTAGAGTGTTGCTTGTCATTATTTTGGTTATGCAGGTACTCCTAGTTGGAATGTGCTGGAGCGTACCTTGAAGCATGAAATACTGGGGCACAATGGAATTGCACGCAAGATTAGGAAGGAAAGACTATCGACATAATTCTATACAGATAACTTTTTTGCCTTTTAAAAATTGTACATGAAATTTTTAATTTTGTGAAGGTTATGATTTCCACTCGACAGACCAGTAGTTCCCGCCCACTCTGTCAGCGACGCCAGCGCTATGCGCACGCGTGTTTGGATCGGCGGCCCGCCCCCCCAAAAAACAGGGCGATGGCATCGCTAGATGCGCGGGTATCAATCATCCACGCAGCGAAGATAGCCGGAGAGCTCAACAACTGGAAGGCGCTTACCCCATTTCTTGGCCTGAGTCCGCCGCAAGAGACGGAGATCGAGAAATCGAGCGGCGACTACGGCGAACAGAAGCGCGCGGCCCTGCTAAAATGGACAGGAGGTGAAAGGGGAAAGAGGCGACTTACCGGGCGCTCATAGCCGCAGCGACGGAGGCTGGGAATGCTAACCTAGCGGACTACGTACGGAGTCTGACTGCGGCGGACGGAGGAAGAATCGCTAATGATGGCGTCGGGGCTAGCGAGACGGAATTGAGTAAGTTTGCGTATCGTATATACCGCTTCCGCATTCTCAAAAGCCTAAAATGTGCTGTGCAAACAATATAGAACTATTGTACATTACGAACACAACGCATATATAGCCAATTCCACTACAGCTAGATTTCACTTATACAGCAAAGTTCACCGAAAAAACATCCGTTGCGTCATACTATATATAATTCCCACAGCTACTGACGACATGATCCAAGTGGCAACCTACCTCTCTCCTCTCTCGAAAGAAGATATCAAGAAGCTGGGAAGATTACTCGGACTCAGTGACATGAGAGTTAGGAACAACTACGATGGAACCTCTGCTAGCACCTACCTGGACTCCATTCTTACTGCGTGGTTTGGGAAAATGGATGACGTCGCTCAAAAAGGTTAGCGATATAATACTAACATTGCGTCCCCATAGTTTGCAGCAACCTAATGGGGAAAAGCAATTTCATTTTTCATTTACACACAACAGGAGGACCAAAATGGAGTGTCTTAGTGAGAGCTCTGAGGCATACTCTTCTTGGGCAGAATGGAATAGCAGAAAAGATTCGCACTGAGACCCTCTGTTAGATTTAGTATATTATATATAGCTATAGTTTTTGGTCTTAAATTTTTAAGCTATTAGTTTTTTTATACCTACTATAATATAGCTGCCTCATTGATTTTGTATGAAGCCACTGCAGTTGTTTTAAATCAACCAACAAGCATAGTAAATCTGCTATATAGTTCAAGTTTTGATTGCCCTGATCATTTAATTCCTCCCACCTCTTGTGCACTCATCGACGTCAACAATGATTATACATCAACGGATACATACATACAATGATAATGAGGTTAACTATGTGACTCCAGTGACATGGCAATCATCTTCAAATCAGCGTTCTCAGTCAGCAGCCTCTCAATATGCTCCTGGTAGTTTTCCAAGACTTGTTTGTGAGTAACCAGCTCATCTTTCGCCTTCTTACACTCGCTCGTGACTTCGTCGAGATCCTGTGATCGCTCCGCCAGTAGAATCTTTGTCTGCGTCAGTTGAGATATCAGGTCTTCGTTTTCTGCCTGAACACGTGCCAGTTGTTGACTGTCGTGTAAGAGTTTTCGGAGTTCGTTTGCTCGAGATTTAGCAGTGGGGCTGTCCATCGACTCCCTCCGCTGCGGATGATGATGTTGGGAGGTTGAGAGAGGAGGGAGATGGGGGGGTGGGGTGCTCTGGGGACCAGTTACCAAGTTTTCATCTTGTTTCAGGGTCTCCGAATAAGTGGGTGGAGCTTCGTTGGTCTTCCCCGATTTAATTTCTTCGTCGCTCAGCGAGACTTGGAGCTCTTGGAGTAGCCCTGCGATGTGTTCCGGTTGGTTTAGTTGAACTTTCAACCCTCCGTGACGACGAACGTGCGACTCAAATACTCGTACGAAGGAGCGAAAGGTCTCCAGAAGGTCAGAGTTAGCTGTGGCTGAGTTGGTCGAGCTGTCGGTACTCTGGGCTGCTGGGGAGGTGTCCCGCATTCCTGACAGCTGTCCCGAATTGAGACGTAGTGTATCTTCCATCCCGGGAGACAAAACCGCTTCGTTTTCTTCACAATTTGACTGGCGGAACAGGTTAGTGCCCAGGATCTGTTGCCCCCGGTGGATATCAATCGATTTGATTTTCACGTTCATCGTTTCGTCACTGTCGGCCGTGTGTTGAAGATCTTCTCGGAGTTCAAAGGTCGAGTTCTCCAGGTGGATCTGAATGGGGACGGGAGCATCGGCTTCAAACTCATCATCAAAGAAGTCTTTAACGACGGACATGTTCTTAGCAAGAAGAGCTGCCTGCAGCCCTCGGATACTCAACATGGCAACGACCTCCTGAACCTTCCCGGTCTCCAGCGACGGAGGTAAGTTGAATCTCTCCACTTGGGAACCGACTTCAATTCTGGCCCTAATCATAGGGGCTCCGTCCCACATCCCCTCGTTCGATTCGTCGGAAAGTTTCTCCAGTTCCATGGAATCGTTTGCTAGTATTTCGCTGAGTCTCACGCGACCGAGACTAGCTCGGATCGCGATCTCGTTTGATTGTATGTTTGGAAGAACAGATATGCCTCTCACGTTGATCCGTAGGATGTGCTGAGGCTCGCTGCGTAGGAGTGGAGGGGGCTTTTCTCGTCTTAACTGGATGATGTCGTCGATCGTAGAGACGACGTCGTGCTTCCGCGACGTAGGGGGAAGGGTTTCCGTGGCGACAGAGTGTCGGTGAGCGGTGTTAGTGTATCGGTCATTTCTCGTCGATCTCCTGACGGCAGTCTTACTCTCCCTCCTTCCTCCCCCTCCTCCTCCAAACCAGATTCAAACTGTTTTTCTGTCAGCCTCGCGTGACTCAGCTGTCGCAGTGTGAGGAGAGAAATGGAATGGAATCTCTTCCAACTCCTGTCCCAGTTCCAGTCCAACCTCCAGTCCCAGTTCTAATCTGGAATGGAATGGAAATAGCACATCAACACAGGCACAGTGCAATCCCCTTGTGAATGTAGTAATACTTCTGAAAGTATGTACATACTTTCACTAGGAAATGTATGAGATTCTTATTATAGAAAAATGCGAAATCTGCAAAATCCGTGCTATGTGAACATAGAAGTTCTAACTCTAACCTCGTGTCCACCACTTGTTCCTTCCTCTCGCCAGTCACCGAATGCACCATCACAAACTCCCCCTCCTCCACCATCTCTTCGTTGCCATGATTACCAAACTCATCACCGTGGTAATCGCTCGACCTTTGACCTCCGCTCTCGTACAGTACAGGGAGACTGGTCTGAGAACCGGACATGGAGCGTTTTTCGGACTGCAAACTGGTCAAGCGGGTTTCACTCATGGTCCTAGCATGTATCTGCTGGGGAAAGAGTTGATGTTGACTGGTTTGACTGGTTGAACTGGTTTGGGAGAGGAGACTAGAGCGACTTCCGGTGTGGGGAGGGAGGGTGAGGGAGGAGGGAAGGAGCGGAGGGTGCGGGGAAGATAATCTTGTGGGTGTGGTCAACGGCGAGAGGACAGGGGGCGGGGCAGGTTCGGGGGACACTGACGAGAGAACGGGCGGGGTTGTGGATGTGGCTTTGCAGGACTCGGGGGCTCTTGGGGGCGGAGTTTTCTCGGTGGTGAAAATGGAGGGAAGCAGAATATCAATTTGAAGGTTTTGGACTATTACGCAACCTGCGATGGATGCAGAACCGTTTTTTTCTCGTGACACCTGCTCCTCAAACAGGTTTGAAACCGGTTGGTCCGAGTTTGCCCCGCCCAACTCTGACATTACGCATTCCTCGTTGCTGGTGAGGGTGTCGTGTCGGTTGCCTAGCGACCGAACGTGTTGGGGTGTGAGTGTGCTCGTTACTAGGGGCGACTCCTGTTCGTCAGCAGGATTAACGAGAGAGAGAAATCTCATCGCGGATGTCTTCAGTTCGTTGAACGAATCCTTCAAACGGAGGAGGAAAAGGAACTGGAGTCGTTCCAATTCCGCCCGGACTGGACTGGAGACGTGAGCTATGAATGACATCATCGGACGCTCGTCTGCGTCACTCGACGGTTTTTGCAGGGGGGAGGAGGAGGGGTTAATATTTCGGTCCCCGGGGGGCACCCCGAGGGAGTTTGGTCCCCGAGTTTCAGTGGTTCCTCCGTGGGGGGTTGCGGTCCCTACAGATACCGCGGGGGTCGAAATTTTTGCCCCCACAGTGGGGGTCTCCCGTCTCTTCTCACGAGGTAGGAACAGCCACAGATGTAGAGGGAAATCGTCTACAAAGTCCCTCGGTCTCAGAGTGTCCTGCGTAATGATTACTGCTTACTTTCAGTTTCAAGGTTAACTATTATATTTTAGAATGTGAGTGTTTGAGAATTTGTTAATTGCACGCCAAATACCCCACCAAGCTGCTAGAAGCAGTGTGAACATATTTGTTTGATTTTCAGTTTCATAATGACCTAGTGCCGAGAAAGAAGAAGGGAGAAGAAATGGATAACGACAGCAGAGAGAGAAGAGAGAGAAGAGAGAGAAAGAGAGAGGAAGAGAGAGGAAGAGAGAGAGAGAAGAGAGAGGAAGAGAGAGGAGAGAGAGGAAGAGAGAGGAAGAGAGAGAGAGAAGAGAGAGGAAGAGAGAGAGGAAGAGAGAGGAAGAGAGAAGAGAGAAGAGAGAGAAGAGAGAGGAAGAGAGACAGCCTCACCTCATGTCTGTCGTCTTGGTAAAAGAGAGGTGAACGCAGGCAGTGTGGATGTGCCATGATTCAGTGTACATTAGTTCAGAGTTCTGGACCACAATCGGACTGACGGGCCTCCTGTGAGGAGACGTGGGCACTTCTGCTACTGAGAGGAGAGGAGAGAAGAGGGAGAGGGAGAAAAAAATGGAGAACGAGAGCAGTTTCTTTAATACAACACCAATGAGTAGAAAGGTATAATATTTTGCCATTGTTGTGTAAAAATAGACAACAAATCACAATTGTTTTCAGAGGAAACGTTGGTAAAAGCTCAAATTGTAAAGAAAGCTGATAGTTACGTCCAACTCACCAACGCCGAGACGACTGTCTCTCAACTTGTAGTTGAGCATTTCTCGTAACCACGGCGGCACGCAGGGGAAATCCCCCTGGAAGTGGGGGAATTCCCCAGTGCCGTGAGTGGCAAACACCCAACCATTGTCCACTCCCTCTAGGGCCTCTTTAAAATCCCTGTCCTGCAAGAGAAAGGACAATTTTAGAAATGCAAGTCCGTCAAACTCATACAAAGTTTCAAAATTTCTCCAACAAACCAGTAGACAGTAGTAGACAGTGTTATATGTACAGTATGTACCTGAAGCAGTGTGTCGAGAGAGTGGTTCTGGATGTTGATGGAGGCCGTCTCCAGCTGCAGAGCCCGTGGCCGGCCGTCAGTATAGGGATGAGGGAGGGGGATGGTCACCTGCAGGTTTAGGACAAATTCTTAGGTGTCCTGAAATCTTATGTGTCCTGAAATCTTAGGTGTCCTGATTAGAAGAGAGATCTTGACAAGCAGAATTGAGTCTACTTCTTTGCATGGCACTGTATATACTTACATACTTACGTTCTATGTGTAAAACTCGAATATTCGCACTTGGCCAATAATGTAGTTCAGGACGTCCTGAACAGCAGGACAAACCTTGGAGAACAGAATCTTGAAGTCCAAGTCGATCCCTGGCAGCCGGTGGGTCGGCACACTCCGAGACTTCAGGTCCTCCTGGGTGGGGACGGAAACACAATCACATCGAAATTCACATCTTCTATGGCAGCATTATGTACTGTAGTGTACTGTATATTACTACAGTAGAACATCGTTCTAAAAGGCAGTTTAGCAGCAAAGAAGTCCAACTGCACTTTTTTCTCTTCCCCCATCCCCTAGTTCTCTTAAAAGACCTCAAAAAGATCACTCCAGCGTCTCTCTCCATTCTCTCTCTCTCTCCCTCCTCACCATGAAGGCCTTGCTCTCCGAGTGTACGCTCAGAGCGAGGTCAAGGTTCACGGTGGCCAGTACCCCGTGGAGGAAATCCATGATCCATACCAGACTGGTCTGGTGGAGGGTGGCGTGGACTGGGGTCAGGTGGACGTAGAGATTGGGCCTCGGAACTGAACAGGGAGAGAGAGAGAGAGGGAGAGAGAGAGAGAGAGAGAGAGAGAGAGAGGAGAAGGAGAAGAAGTTATAAAAATCGTTCCACATGGACTAACTGAGAAACTTTGTTCCATATTCCTCGGGATAGAAGTAGAGAGTGAGTCCCATCTGGAACGCAGGGTTGTGGACGTCGTCGGGAATGTTGAACGTTTTCTTGTCCGAGGTGATTAGCGGCAGCTGGGTCTCCGTGGCAACGGAGGACGAGTTGCACAGGGAGTCAACGGTAAAGTCGGCGCAGCGAACTACGACCCCTCGTTCATGGAGGTACTGTGGAGAAGACAGAGAATGATGATGAGTACTTTTCTTGAGCTTTTGCTGTGCCCCCTGCCTAGGGTTAGCAATCATCAGATTTTCAAGATTTAAATTCATTTTCACACAGATTTGATTATTTGCAGAAGCTATATAATATACTTTTTAGATACAAACTTCAACATTTCAAGAACTTTAACTGAAGTTTTCAAATACTGTGCTAGCTTACTTGGAGTGAGACAGATGGTAGGTCCATGTGCTGAGTTCTTGACGCTTTCTTGATGAGTGCTTCGCTCCATCTGATGATGTAATGACATAGGAAACACATACATTCTCAATGAGAGAAACGACATCATCACCAATGCACCATTGGGGACGCCGATGTCATACATAAGATCGCCGCGAATACATTGGCAATTTGGTATGACGTCCTACAAAGATTTCTCCATAGAAACTGAATGGAAGTGATGATGTAATGCACGGCTCACCTAACGTTTCGCAGGATTAGGTCGTTGGCCCTGTTCCAGTGATGTTTCCCCGAGCCAGCCGGCTGGTCCAGGTACACATCGACTTGGACTTCCTTCAGTCTCACCAGCAGAGATGCTGGCGTGGGGGAGAGAGAGAGAGAGAGAGAAAAGTGAAGTATCGCGGAAAACCTGCGTACGAGCTCTTTGTGACAAAGATTTGAGGTTTGAATTTGAACGTACATTCAACAGTGGATCGTTGGCTCTGCGGTCTTCCATCGTTCTCTCTCTCATCTTCTTCTTCTGCAAAAAATATTATGAAAATGAAAGGAATGTGCCGACATACGTAATTATGAGATGTACACACATTCAAGTACTGTACGTATTATATATATTTAACATGTAGTTGACTTGTTTGCCTTGCCTTAATTGCCTTTCTACCTCGCTACCAAGTTGTTGAGACATGCTATAATTATTATTATACGTGTAAGTGTTGTTTCAGAAAAACACTGAATCTCGAGGCTGCCAGTAATGATGTGGTTTGTAGTATAAAATCAATATGGACCCCCAGAATGTGGTATATGGGATTTGTTGCTCACCGCGAGAATCGTCACAGAACTGAAGATCAATGTTCCCAGTTTGAACGTGGACTGAATTTTGGATGACATCATAGGCCGGCATGTTGGCAAGTCCAGATCGATACTCGTACATCTTCTGCTTCGCCTCACGCTCTTTCTGAGACAGGCCCTTCGATTTCCCTCTCCTTTTCTCCAATTTGGCCTCCGACTTCTTCCGACTGTTTTTGGGACTCGAGGATTTCTTTCTCCTTTGTCGGTCGTCACCGGCAACGGAGCTCCACCCCTCTTCGCTCGCCAAGCTCTCCCCGCTAATACTTCCGCTGTCGTCTCCTAGCAACGCCTCTCGTTCCTACGGTTACAACAAACACTCAGGTAAAGCAGACACACACATAATACCCGCCATGCTGTTGACCAATGTTCATGTGCAGTATCTTACATAAGTACACAGAGTAAGTAGTCGGCCTTCAAGGCTGACCATATTGGCATTATTATGAATGATGTAATCAGCAAATGTTCATAAGTGTTGCGTAATCATACGTAAGTACTTTATGGATTGTATACTCTGGCCATTTACACTACACAATACAACTTTAACCCCTGTCTCTATTCCATACCACCTCCCTGTCCCTATTCCACACCACCCCTGTCCCTATTCCATACTACCCCTATCCCTATTCCATACCACCTGTGTCTCTATTCCATACCTCCCTCTGCCTCTGTGCGGTGAGGACGGCGGCAGTCATGAGTGTCTGAACGAGTCGAGACACGGCCTGCAGCTGGGAGCGGCTCAGAACCCACATCACGTCCCCGAGCCGCACCACCACACGGGAATGGAGAACACTGCAGTCCTCGATACGCCGTTTGAGAGTGAATCTGATGTTTGTTTCTCCAGCAATCAACCTCAGTTTCACTTTCGCATCTTCAGTTTTACTTTTCCCTCCACTCCCACCTTCACTCCCTTCCTCCATCACTTTCTCTTCTCCTCCTCCTCCTCCTCCTGCCCCCTCTCCTCCCTCCTTTCCCTCCTCATCATCCACAACCCACCCCTCCAACTTGACGTTTCCAATGTTGCACATCTTGTAGATGATGACTGACTCTTCGTCGGTCGTCTTGTAGCGGGTGTGAGCGAGCGTGGCCGGGTTCCATTCCGGATTCGTACTCTGGATCGTGATATCGGAGATCTCGAGCCGGGCCCGGTATGCAGGATCTCGGAAATTGACGACG